GTGTCTTGCTTTTCATTACTTGGAAGAGGAAGCACCCTAGGCAAGGGGTGCAGGCGCAGAGGAACCGGACTTCTTACCTGGAGGCAGTGCCACCCACCTTGGAGAGGTTCTGAGGGCTATTGAGCAAACCCCCGAGTCAGTGCTTCTGCAACACCTGGAATGCCAGTCCCCAGCCTCATCTACTGCAGACTTGAGTCCCTGTGATCTTGGACTGGTAAGTCCCCCTTGAGGCCTCAGTTTCCCTATCTATAAAACAAGTGGGCTGGACAACATGGTCCCTAAGGGCCCAGCATAGCTGTTCTCCATTCTATTATTATTGGCTCCCATCCAGAGCCTCCCAGCTAGTTGTCTCAACATCCCAGGAGAGAAAACATAGCTCTTTGTTCATCCGTTCATTTCCACATTCCGGGAGAGAAAGCATAGCCCTTTGTTAATTTTGGAATAATGAATTTATTGTTTTATATAAATTATCATGCTTATTTTAAAAAGGTCAACTATACTGAATAGTATAAACAAGAAGCAAAATCTTTTCCCCAATTTTACCGTAGTGTGTGCAACAGAAGTACAAGGCAAGCCACAAGTAGGATTTTTTTAGTAGCTGCATTTGAAAAAGTAAAAAGAAAGAGGTAAGGCTAATTTTAATAATAGTTGAACTCAATATATCCAAAATATTATCATTTCAACAGATAATCAACATGTAATAAAAAATCTTAATGGGATATTTTACTTTTCTTTGCGCTAAGTCTTTGAAACACTTATAGCACAGCATGCTTCATACTAGCCATGTTTCATGTACTCATAGCCACATGTGGCTAGTGGCTACCATATTGGACAGTGAACTTCCACCACATGAAGTAACTATCAGTAACTTCAGGTTAACCTCACCAACATGTTGTTAGACAGGTAAACAAAAACAATTCTACAAAAACAAAGGGTTTACAGGTATTATTTTCCCTGAACTTTTGCATATTGCCTTTATACTTGAAAGACAATTTGATGGGGAAACAATCCTGACTCATATTTTCTTTTCTAGAACTATTGTGGACCTGGTTGCACTGAATTCTGCCATGGAGTGTTGCTATGAAGTGGCCTGAAAGTTTTCATCCCTTAAAGTTACTTTTTTCCTGTCTGAATGCCTAAGGACATCTTTGCTTATTTTTGAGATTTAGTATCTTAACAAGGATATTTTGGTATCATCCTCTGCATCATTTTTTTTTTACTGGAACATGGAGTGCTTTTTTCAATCTACAGATTTTTTTCCAGGTTTCTTCATTTTAATCAGCTCCGTGAAGGACATCCTAAATACTACATAAGACACAACAGAATATTTTTTCTTCCAGTATTAAAAAAAAATGGCATTCACAAGTATTTTTGAGAAACTTAAAAAGAAACTTAAAAGAAACTTCTGTATGATCAGGGTCATGATCTTTAGTAAAAACCACTTCTAAGAAATCATGTTCTTGATTTCTTATAGTTATGTTCAGAAATTGCTTCCTAACCATGATAAACATTGTGTACAGGTTTTCAAAATGTCCCTAGATGCACATTATTTTTAAAAAAATCAATCTGGCTGAACATTTTTTGCCAGACCAATAATCCTGAGAGTCCAAACCAAAAAACCCCAGTCTGTCTGCTCCTTGGGCTAACTGTCTTCTTGGCCCTTTTATTCCTTAATTTCCAGGACTCGAATTCACTGCCATGTCCTCTGAAGAGGGGAAGCTCTTCATGGGAGGGCTCAACTTCAACACTGATGAGCAGGCTCTGGAAGACCTGTTCAGCAGTTCTGGGCCTATTTCTGACATGGTCATTGTCAAGGACCGGGAGACAGCAATCCTGGAGTTTTGGCTTCATCACCAACAATGCAGAGCGTGCCTTGGATGCCATGAGAGCCATGAACAGAGAGTGTTTGGATGGTCACCAGATCCAGGTGGATCACGCAGGCACGTTAGCCACAGGAACCAGAGGGGGTGCCTTTGGGGCCCATAGGTGTGGTCACAGCTACTCTAGAGGTGGTGGGGACCGGGCTATGAGAGTGGCAGATGTGACAGTCGACCTGGAGGAGATGGATATGGATATGGAAGGTCCAGAGACTATGGTGGCAGAAGCCAGGGTGGTTATGACCGCTACTCAGGAGGAAATCATGGAGACAATTATGACAGCTGAGACAAGGCATGCACACCTAACGTAGACACACAAGGAATAAAACTTCTGATCCAGGCTCGTCCTTCCAAATTTATCAAGATTTTTGGAGCTGTACTGAAACATGTTTTAGTACACCAACTTCTGTTTTTGAATTGAGCTCCCAAGGTAGCTTGTTAAAGACCTTTTAGAAAGCTCCATGTGTTTTTAAAATTTTTTTCTCCCATTTAAAGTCAAAGTCTGAGACATTTGTAGAATCTGGGTATTTTTCCTTCTACAGATTTTTTTAAGGGAAATTTTCTTACGCCTTAAATCAATTTTCTATTCCAATTGTCGAGTTTTCTATTTAAGATACATCAATTATGTTAGGTTATCTTCACTTGGCCTCCAGTAGTTTTTAAAAGCATAGCCACTGGAGACGGACAAATTTAAATTCCAGCTTATCTGTGTGACCTCGGGCAAGTTATTTAACTTCTATGGACTATAGTTTCTATTTGGAAATAACAATGGAAATAACATTGGATAATAATAACAATGGATAACAAACATAGATAACAATGGAAACTACCTGTGTTCGGAATCCTCAAGGTTCAATGCACTAAAAGGACTCACAGGGCTCAGAAGTGGTTATCAGGTTTACAGCAAACCAATACAGAGTAAAATCCACAAAGGAAAAAGTGTTTGGGGTGAAACACAGAGAAAACCAGGCACAAGTTTCCAAACGTCTCCTTCCAGTTGAGTCACGCAGGACGTGCTTAATCCCTCTGCCCAACTTGTGCAAAGTGTTGCCAACCAGGGAAGCTCGCTCAAGCCTGGGCATCTTGGGTGTTTATGGTGGCATATACTGCCTACACGACTGACCTCAGTTAGTGAAGCCCCAAACCCCAGAGGCAAAGCAGGCATTTACCATGTTAAAAACGATTAAAGAAGACATTTTTGGTGACACAAACTTGAATACTTCGTGAAGCGGGCAGTCTCCATTCCCAAGGGTCCAGGGAACTGTAAAGTGGGGTGGAAGGCAGGAAGCTTTAATAGGATAAAGAATAAGAAAAAAGGAAAACAGAGAATGAGTAAGGAACAAAGAAATAAGTATAGAGCCCAAGTTGACTTGGCATTTGGGGGTTGGCTGACCTGATAGACTGTGTTTCTGGTCAAGCAGAGCATTTACAAGGACACGAAAGTTATCAAGTTTTGGTTTGCTGACTTGGTACCCCAGGCAGGAGTGGCTCTATCTTGGACCCAGAAATTTATTTCAACAGTCCCCTCTTTTGATCATCCTCTTGACCATTTAAGAAGCTTGATCAAAAATATCGGTCTTTGTTCGCGTGACTCTGAGTTACCATTGCCTCTTCAGGTCTCAGTGTAGTATTCACAAGAGACCATGTCACGCTCTTGTTCTTGGAGCTGGTTACGTTCTTCTGTTCTCCTTTGTTGTTCCAGTTGGAGAGAACCATCCGTAGTTTGATCAATGGCTGCCTGTATGCATATAAACTTTTGAGAGAATGCAGTATATTAAGGGAACAATAATAATCATTAGCAACAAAATAATGACCGTGGTTTTAAGAGCACTCCTGAGCCAGGGTCCCCATGATCCAAACCAGCTAGAATCAAATAAGTCCAGAAATGATCTTGAAGAGGTGGATACTTCTTTAAGCCAGGTGGCCTATTTATGTATTTCATGTAACTGTGTCTCCATTCCCAGAAGTGTTTATTCAGCAAGTTTGTTCCAGAGGCATTGGAATTCAGGGAGAAGTTTGTGATGGACAGAAAGAACTATAGGATCACCAGCATCATAGCAAATCCAACAGTCCCTTGGAGGTTGAATGACCGTCTTTTGTGATGGCCTGAGATATGTGAATCTTGACATTATCTTTCCAGGCCAGGGCACGGTGAAAGAAGACAAAAGAATCATAAAGACTCCATGGTGTAAGAATTTCATAAACAACCTCAATTTACAGATGAGGGCACCAAGGCCCAGAAACACGAAATAATTTGCCAAACCCAGGTCCTCCTGACTGAAACGTGCAGTCAACCACTGCGGTGTCCGCCACTCGCAGCTGAGATTGTCTCCCGCATGAGATAGGAATTAAGGCAATTCTTCTCCCAAGGGTATTTGCAACTTGTTAGTGGGTCCTGACAACTCAGTCATGTCCAGACCCGACGGTTTCTCTGTAACAGCTGTGTGGGGAACGTTGTAATGAGAGCCTCTCTAACTTGCGCGCACCGCGAAGTGTGGCGCAAGCGCATTGCTATCTACTCAATCGCATTGAAATAGACTTAATTGCTTCATCTTCTGCGGGAAGCTGGGTAGGGGGCACTCGTTCATTTTTGCGAAAGAAGTGAAGTGACTTGTACTGGTCACATGGTAGACATTGCGACCATTCCAAAGAAGTAACGTAAAGGTGGGGGCTCAGACGGGCTGACTAATGGGAGAGAATTCTGGGGTTCCCCGAGATTCGCCTCTTCCTGGTCTTGTCTCCTCTGCCACTTTCCCAAGGTGTGTGGGCAAGGCAGCTTTTCTCTCTGCCCGCTCCCCCCCCTCCTTCTACCCCAATGAGGTTTCCTCCAGGCTTGCTAATAAAAGTGTGGTTCTGTGGACCATTTTATAGGAAAGGAAATTGGGTCTGGGGAGGCACTGGTCAGAGTGAATCTGTTAGAAATGCTGCTTCTCAGGCCTCACCCTAGACCTGCTGAATCATAATCTGCATTTCACCAAGATCCGCAGGAGATTCGCAGGCATGATGGAGTTTGAGGAACACTATTACCGAGCATTTTGGCTGGGGAGGTCGGGAGATTACGCAACGAACGGGATTGGCCCCAGCTCCTCCCATTTCTCTCCCTGTTTCCACCCCTCAGCTGGAGTATGAAAAGCTCTGTCAGCCCCCAGGTTTCCTCAGAAGCCCTTCCTCAAGGCCATGAAGATGGACCGGCTTTGCCTCTTTGCTCTTCTTGCCCTCCTGAGCATCCTGGTGGCTGGCACCCAGGGGAATAAAACTCCTCCCCCTAACCACCGCCCTAACCCCCACCCTAACCCCCACCCTAACGACCACCCTAACCCCTACCTTAAACCCCACCCTAACCACCGCCCTAACCACCGCCCTAACCCCCACCCTAACCACCGCCCTAACCCCTACCTTAACCCCCACCCTAACCACCGCCCTAACCCTCACCCTAACCACCGCCCTAACCCCCACCCTAACCCCAACCTTAACCCCCACCTTAACCCCCACCCTAACACTCACCCTAACCACCGCCCTAACCCCCACCTTAACCCCCACCCTAACCCCCACGCTAACCACCGCGGGAAGCCCACCTCTCCTCTGCCTGCTGGAGCGGAAAATGAGGGTGAGTCTGTGGAAAGGATTGGGGGGGCGGGGGTGGGTGGAGCCAGAGCTCTCTTGATTAGAAATCCATGCAAAGTTTTCTTCATGAATGAGACCTCTCCTTCTGCTCTCTGGACAATTATGTGATATTTTTAGCCTGTGTTTCACAGCATTTTTTTTTTCCTGTTTACTTGATGGTTTATTGAAGGGGTTAAGAAGTCTGTGGCTGAATAAACACGTCAAATAATTCAGAGACTTTTAAGTTCCTCTCTTAAATATTCATCAAGATAGTTTACATCTTGACAACTTACATCTAAAATACATAATAATTATTTTTCGGTTTCCTGGATAGGTATACATTTTAAAACTTTACATGGAATAAAATATGTTTTTGATATACTTCAGTCCTTAAAAGGAAGCCATTCACTTAACCTGGTACTCAAAAAAAAGAAGCATGGATTTGTCCCTGTGTTGGAAAATCTAGCAGTGCTGGTCTCCAGGGTGGTCACTGGGAACTTGTCTACTGTGCTTCTGCTGGGGGAAGCTTAAAGGGCTCTTCAGGGGCAATTTTGTCCACAGGTGACTTATAGCTTGGATACTGATGTGGAATATTAAATTAGAATTTAATGAGTACATCTAACAACTATTCTAATAACTAACGTTTATTCACTTTTGATTAATTGCTCCTTACTCTACAGATATTATCTGTAATCCTCTCAACAAGTCCATGAGGTTAGGATTATTATGGTCATTTCACTGATAAGGCTGCTGTAGCTCAGAGTGGTTAATTGTCTTACCTAAGGACACACAGCCAATGAGTGTCACCACTAACATCTTAAAGAACACGTAGTCCCGGGGTTTGCACAAGATGCTCCTTGAGGTTTGGGGGTACTAGGGTAGGAGAATGGTGAGGTAGGGGAAGTGAGAGGGCTGAGGATGGGGCTCTGGACCCCACACCTGGGTACCTACCAGAACAGCTTTCTTTCTTTTTCTTTTTTTTTTTGCTTGAGGAAGATTAGCCCTGCGCTAACATCTTCCTTTTGTTGTATGTGGGTCGCCACCACAGCAGGGCTGACGAGTGGTGTAGGTCGGCGCTCAGGATCCCTACCCGCGAACCCAGGCCACCGAAGTGGAGCGCACCGAACTCAACCACCACACCACAGGGCCAGCCTCCTTGCAGTTTCCTTTGGTAAAATTTCATTTGAAAGAAGGGATCTGCTGCTAAAAAAGATTGACATCCATATCCTCATGGCACACATTTTATTCTTTGCAAGACTAAGATGTCACTGGATGTAGTGCTTTTCTTTCTTTTTTTTTTTTTTGGTGAGGAAGATCAGCGCTAAGCTAACATCCGATGCCAATCCTCCTCTTTTTGCTGAGGAAGATTGGTCCTGGGCTAACATCCGTGCCCATCTTCCTCTGCTTTATGGGATGCCGCCACAGCATGGCTTGACAAGCGGTGCATCTGTGCGAGCCCAGGATTCGAACCTGTGAACCCTCGGGCCGCCACAGTGGAGCGCGCACACACTTAACCGCTGCGCCACCGGGCCGGCCCCTGTAGTGCTTTTCTTATTCCACGATATACTACAACCATTTTCCATTGTCAGTTAATATTCTTCTACAATATTATTTAATTATTGCAAAAATTGTGATATATTTTATTTTAAATATTTCTCCTTTTTAATTACAAAAGGAGTATATGCTTATGATAACTAGTGGAATGGTGTAAAGATGTGTAAAGAAAGTTTTAAGACTCCATCTCCGGTATGTGTTTGTTTTTTGCAACACCACCCAGCAATTCTCCAGTTCTCAGAGGGCACTCACTGACTGGGTGTCACTGGGTCACTGCTACCTGGAGATAGCAGTCAGATCCCACAGGTTAAAGTCTCAATCCCACACAACTGCATCCCCTCCCCCACTTCAGATGCCAATTGCAAGTCCAGATTGTCACTGACCAGCTATAGATCAGAGGTTCCCACGACCCCCTCCTCGGTTCGATTAATTTGCTAGAGCGGCTCACAGAACTCAGACAAACATTTTGCTTACTAGATGACCAGTGTCTTATAAAAGGATAGAACTCAGCAACAGCCAGATAGATGGAAGAGATGCATAGGCTAAGGTATGGGGAAAGGGTGTGGCGCTTCCAGGATTTCTGAGCTGGGCACTCTCCTGGCATCTCCACCTCCCCCACCACCCTTCTCTGTTTTGAGACATGCCAGGTTTTCAGTTGTTCACTGCGTAAACAGAGCTGTGATGACCATTCTCCTAAGTGACCTAGAGCTCTCTTGCATCCTTGCAGTCCCTCCTGCCTTCTGCCTGGAGCCTCCCTACACGGGTCCCTGCAAGGCCCGTTTTCCCAGGTACTTCTTTAACGCCACCTCGAGGGAATGCAAGGTCTTTACCTACGGTGGCTGCAGAGGGAAGAAGAATAACTTCGGGGACAAAGAGGAGTGCCTGAGAACCTGCCGTGGGAATGACCCACCACCTAAGAGTAAGGCGGGGAGGAGGGTAGGGAGGGGAAGAGCTGGGGAAAAGGTAGAGCTTAGCAGGCCCCACACCCGTCACACTTGCACAGTCTTTCCTCTGTGCTGCCTTCCGAGGAGGAAGTGGCAGCAGTGTCCTGTGACCACAGATGGAGCACATCCTCCATCGGCCAGCTCGGCAGGAGGTCTCGCTAGAAGCGCCCCTTGAGCTAATCTGAGCTATCTCACCGGCTCGCCTTGTGCAGGTGGGAACGTTGAGGCGGCCACCCTGCAAAGCGGGTCTGCAGTACTCCTGAGCACCCCCCAACCCCAGGCATGGCTTCCTTCCTGTCAGTCCTCCTGGACATGGGGAGGACCGGGGTTCTTCATTTCTGGGATGGTGTAGGATCTGTCAGGGCAGACAGTGTCTGGGTGAGGGACTTCAGTGATAGCAATTCAGTTCCTTTCTCATTGCAGAGAACCGGCCACATGTGCGGCCCCGAGGTCCTTAAGTCTGCGGAGGTCCCATGCAAGGCTGGACTGTGGCTGCCTTCCCAGACAGTTCAGCCTCCTCCTCTGCTCCCTCTTCAACCCTCCCCTCCTCAGCAGAACCTTGCCTCTTTCTTTCTCCCCCTGGGTCCTCAGATTTTAGCTCTGTCTTATCCAGTAGACTCCAAGTACCATGAGAGCCAGAACTGTACACCTGTGTTTTGCCCATCACGTTATCTCTAGCACTTCACACAGTTCCTGACACGAAGGAGAGGGTTCATAAATCTCTGTGGAATGAATGCATGCATGAGCACAGCTCCTCTCTACTGGAACGATACAGGGTGAGGTTTGAAGCCATAACTCTAACCTGAACCTCATTCTCACTGCGTCCTCACCTCGCCCCCACTCACCATCACTAGGTTCTTTGGGGGTGGCAGCAGTGGCCTTTCTGGCATCCAGGTCAGAGTGTCAGCGGTGACAGGGGTATTTTCACTCAAGAAGCCCCTTTCGCCCGTGGTGATGTTGCAAATTTTCCTGTCTGTGGCTTCAAACTCTCTGGCCTTATGTTTAAATAAACTCATTTTTTGATTAGACTAACCAGAGTGGATTCTGTTGTTTGCAACTAAGGACCTGAACTGCTACAGTCCATCGTGGTGGTGGACCTTCACGGTATTCTGCAGAGCAGTGGCGTCTCCCCTTTTCCTGCCTTCAGACTGGGCCCTGCCAGGTATAGGAAGCAAACCCATTACAGCACCAGCTACCTCTTAATGGCCACCCCAAGCTCCATAAAGTCCTGGGTGACACTTTGACATTAGAGCTTTTGTTCTTGACTTTTGGGGCCAAGTCAAGTTTTGGGGCTGTTGCTCTGGACTCTGAAGAAGAAAGGAAGGAGCATGAGGCTCAATTGTCCACTTGTCCAAGGAGCCCCTTCCTGAGGTTGTGTGTGTGGGGGGTAGGGGCTTGCTATTTCAGTGACAGCAACTGCAACCATCCATGTAGTGAGCACTTGCCATGTACCAGGCTCCGCGCTGAGCATTTTGCATGTATTAGTTCATTTAATCATCCTAAGAATCCTGCCAGTGAGGAAATGGAGGCTTGGAGATGTCACATAGCTGGCCTATTAGTTTCCTGGGGCTGCTGTCACAGAGTACTACAAACTGAGGGGCTTAAACAAGAGATATTTATTCTCTCACAGTTTTGGAAGCTAGAAGTCTGAGATCAAGGTGTCAGCAGGGCCATGCTCCCTTGGAAGGCACTGGGAAAGGCTTTGTTCCTATCCTGTCTCCTAGCTTCCAGAAGTTCCTTGGCTTGTGTCGGCATAAGTCCAACCTTCACATGACGTTCTGTGTGTCTGTGACCTCATTTCCCTTTTTCCTGAGGCCATCAGTCATATGGGATTAGGGCTCACTCTGAGACTTCATTTTAACTTGATTACCTCTGTAAAGACCCTATTTCCAAATAAGGTTCCATTCTGAGGAACTGGGTATTAGGACTCCAACATATCATTTTTTAGGGGAGACAATTCAACCCATAATAATGGATAAATGGCAGAACCCAGGCTTATCTGACTGACCCAAACCTTGTCCTTTGGAGGGAGGAAGACCATGGAAATGAAGAGCCTAGACTCTCCAGCTAGGCTGCAGGGGTCCAAAGCCGGGGTCTGTCTTAATTTGTGTTCTTCTGAAGCAGAGGGCAAGGAGCTTATGCAGTGAGGTGGAGGCAGGTGAGAAAGGGCAGGAGAGGCAGTCAATAAACATTGAGTCATCAAGCCCATTCTCACTGGGACTGCTGCTTGATGCCAGAGGGGATTGGAGAGGTGGGGAGAACACATTCCTTGCAGTTGTCTTCCCCCAAGAGATAAGGGGGTGTTTACACACCAACTCCCTGTCATTCATTGGTTGAGGACTTCTGGCTTGTTCTGTGCATAGATTTTTCTTGTGTGGCTTCTAGGAAAGCCCTTGGGCAAAGAGATGTAGATGCAGAGATGCAGCAAGTCAGCCAGCAATACTGGGGGTGTAAATTCCCACGGGTGAGGGGAGGGCACATATCTTCTGCCACACTGTTTATGTGGCTTTGAATAAGTTACTGAACCTCTCTGTGCCTGCCTTCTCCCTGCAGGGGGTTGTTGAGAGGATAAATGAATGAACATGCTGAGGCCTTAGACCAGAGAGCCTGGCATGTAATTAGTACAATTTAAACATTCACTAGGATTCTTATTGACTAAATTATACTGTCCTCTCCTGGAGAACGAGTGACTCAGACATCACGTAGAAACGTTTATGCTGGAAGGCAATTGGGAGAGAATCTGATCCAACCTCCTTATTTCACAGGTGAGGAATTTGGGGCCTAAGAAAGGGAAGTATCTTGCCAAATGTCACCCAGCTTACAAACATGACCATTGGAATAGACCAAACCCAGGCAACATCACATTCATTCATTCATTCATTCACTCTCTTGTGTATTAAGTACCTGTTTTGTGATAGGCACCAGGGAGACAGTAATGACCAAAACAGGAGCCTCCACATCTGTCTGATCACTCACAACCATATCGGTACAAAGTTGAATGGTCAACTCCCATATCTATCATTATAATTATATGCACACTCTTGTACTATTATGTACATTATAAGTATTCAATAATATACATTTTAATAAAGGCTGGGCTAGAAACATGTAAGCCAGCCCTGGTGGTCTAGTGGTTAAGAGTTGGTGCTCTCACAGCCATGGCCCAGGGTCAGTTCCCAGTCAGGGAACTACACCACCCGTCTGTTGGTTGTCATCCTGTGGGGGCTGTGTGTTGCTGTGATGCTGAAAGCTATGCCACCAGGACTTCAAACACCAGCAAGGTCACCCAAGGTGGACAGGTTTCATTGGAGCTTCCAGACTAAGACAGACTAGGAAGAAGGACCTGACCACCCACTTGCGAAAAAATTGGCCACGAAAGCCCTGTGAATAGCAGTGGAGCATTGTGTGATACAGCGCCGGAAAGGGAGAGGATGGTGCAAACAGACGGGGCGGTGTTCCAGTCTGCTGTATACAGGTCGCCAGGAGTTGGAATTGTCTCGACTACACTGACTAAAGAAACAAATAAGCAGAAGTTTCTAGATATTTTCCTCCTGTACCTCAGTGCACCCCACTTAGGATACCTGTGGACCAGGACAGTCTTTACCCTCAAAGAGTTCTCCGCCCAGTGTGGGAGTCAGAGGCACAGAGTTCCAACAGCACACACGCTGTGGGAGCCGAGGTGGAGGCCCTGGGTCTCACCTGAAGAGGTCAAGGCCAGCTTCCCAGAAGAGGCCATGTTTGAGCTGAGTGTTGACGGGTGAGTTGGATTCTGTCAGGTGGAAAGGAAGGGGGAAACATGAGCTTTGGGGCATGACAGAGAGATGGAGATGAGAAAAAAGGTTCTCCTTCCTTCCATTTCCCACATTGGAGTCTGTGTGGGTTTCCAGGTAGCTGTTGAGCATCACGAGGGGACCCCAACTTGTACCACAAACTCCACCCGACCCTGAATCCAGATGAACCTGAGAGTCCTCTGGGTGGAGAGTAGAGAAAGAGAAGTTACCTAGGAGAGATAGCAAACCACCTCATTTGCTTGAGAGCCCTGGCCCTTCTCCTTCCAGGGGTTGAGTTTCTTGCTCCCTTCTGCTAGTCCCAGCTCACAGGGCAGTGAGCCAGCTGCCTTATCATCTCTAAGAAACAGACCTACCAGAGGTGAGTGACGGAGGTGTGTGGATGTTGGGATGGGGGAGGGATTCGGTGTTGGAAGAAAAATTGGAGAAGGCTTCTGAATCATTAAATCCTAGAATTTCATAGAAGTCAACCAGCCTCAGCTTTTATATCTCCTCCTACGGGGAGCTCACTGTCTCTTGGGCAGCAGGTGCCAGCTGGCAGCACTCATCATGAGAACACTCTTTTTCCCATTGAACCGATAAGCATCCCCCTCACCCCTGCCCTGCCTTTCCACATGGGTCTTGACTCTACTCCCAGGAAACCCACTGATCAAGTCTGCTGTCTTTGTCCTAAGACAGTTCTAGAGAGATTGGGAGATGGCAATCAATGAGTTGCCCCCTCCCACAAAGTGTCTTTTAGGTTGCTGTGCAACATTTTGCTAAGTCCCCTCCATCAGCTTTCAGATTCCCAGGATTTAAAGTTGGAGGAATCCCTTTTTCAGCTCCCTACAATTTATGCAGCGACTGCTAGGATGCCCCGTCTCTGCTTTGGAGGAGAGAGGTAAGTGTAAGAACAGGAGAAGGATGGTCAGTAGTGTAAGAGCTCCCAGTCACCATCCTGACTTGCCTCCCCCAGGTGGGTAAGAGAATGGCAATTAGACAATGTGGAAACATGAACTGAAAGAGGATGGCTGATAGAAGAGGGTAGGAGGTAGGTGGTGGGCAGGGGTCAAAGGCTTGTGGAGGTATTTCCCAAGATACATCACTCTTCAAGTTCATTATTAGACCTTCTGAGCTCTAAGGCACTGTGGGAATGACTTGTTCAGAATCTAGTGGGTTCTCAGCAAAGGGCGGTCCCCTAGCTAAAG